AATTCTTCAAAAAAAAAAAAAAGACGGGGCAGTCTTAGTGTTAGTACAACAGTGCACACCAAAACCAGAGCCACAAGGAGAGCTCTTGATGAGGCACACGCGAGAATGCACGTTCTTGACAAAGAGGCGAATCGGGAGTCACGTCCCAGACGGGAAAAGGCTGCTTGTTGCAAGCACTGCTTTCACATCCAGAATCTAGTGAATGTAAGAAATCTAAAAGTATCACCCAAACGATTTTCTCCAACTGCGGCTTACTGAAGACCCGCGATCAATGACAAGAATTTCTATCTCATGACAAACTGTGATGCTTTGTTTCATTAGGCATATATTTTGCTTACTTTTTCCTTAAACAGAATATTTATTATTGCTTCAAATTCATGTCAGCACAGGGCAAAAGAAGGAAGAAAGTCAGCTGTTCTACAAACTCATGGTTCAGCACAAATGCACATATCTGGACATTTGTGACCCATAAATAATATTTGCATCACAGGCATTAAAAACAAAGTCCACCTGTCTTATCAAGGAGTGATTTCCCGATCTACAAACAGTAAGTGCCCAAGTGGATCCAGCAGATGGTGCTCTAGGACATGCACAGTTTGTGTCATGGCTACCTTATTTTGGCAAGACAAAGAATAAGGATTTATCAGTGGCTTCAATAAAACTTAGTAGGCTTTATGATAAAAATAACATAATTTCTAAATATGTGCACACACTATACATATGCATAAGACATGCACGGGGGCAACCAGTAAATAATTCACACCTGGATGATACAACTTCTGTTACCGACTTGATGAGTAGTCTATATACATATCAGTGGTATTTATGGTCATATGGCAAGATCATTCTAAATTCATTAAAAAAAAATTTAGAATGCCTTAAAGTTAGAATTCATTTTTAATTATAGCAGGAATGTCTCATTAGGGTGATACTAGTAAAATTAACAACAGTAGGATTTACGGTAATGACTGGAGTGATTGATGAGAGTCTAACAGAATGAAGTTTTAGACAGAGAAAGAAAGCAGGGCGGCTATGGCATACAGTACTTTAACAAACAGCTCTGTGGTCTGTTAGTGCGAGCCTTGTGGTTAATAAAACCTTCTTTCTAATTAACGGTGCTGAAATATTCTTAAAGAACAGAATCCTGGTGTTATAAAAAAAAACCTAGTTGTTTTTTTTTTTTTCAGTAGACGCCATTCCCATAAAGGAGAAAGCTGACATAGATTAGCATGTCTGATTGCAGAGAGAAAAAAAAATGCCACCTTTCAATCAAATCAAAAACAGAACGTGAGAATGGAAAACTACTTTACTGAAATACTCCACACACAAATCTGTGCAACACCCTCCCAATCAGCAACCATTCGCTTCTAAAGCTAAAAAATTGTGGCTTTCAAGAAATTACTCAGATACATAAAAATACTTAAATATTTACTATTAATAAGCATTTAATTTCATGATCTATTAATATAAAATGGTGGACAAATAACAACCGTTTTGTAAATTTTTATCTTCCTTTTAAGATCATTTCAAAGTGCTAAAGTATTTAAATGTCAGTGGCATGCACTGGGAAACATTCTCTCCACCATTTGGAAATGGACAGGCTGGGCAGACTTATTTAAAAGGAAAAAGGAGTATTTCAAGAAAAGCCTTTCAGTGGACAAGATCTGGTCCTGAAACACACAGGGCACCTGGGCAGAGAGATGCTCCCAAACAAAAAACACCTTTCACTGAAATGTTTTTGGTTGAATTTACTTAAAAAATTCACCACTAAATGGAATCCGACCTCAATTTTCTTCTCATTCAGAAAACTGCATTCCACAGGAAACAACTATCGCGAGACGGCAGAGTCAAAGATGGAAACCTATGTGCTGCACGGGAAAACAAGGCTGTTGCCACAGCATCTCGGCAGACTGCATAGAACACGTGCGTCCTTTCACCTGCCCCAAGTGACACTACGTGCAGATTCCACCCCGTCAGAATTAGCCTGATGTTTCCCAGGCAGTTTTCATATTAATATCGTGCGACGTGATTTAAAAAATAGTAATAAAGCTCTCAACTTTACATACAGCACTAAGATTAGTAGAAAATGGTGTAGGCTTATGACCCTAGCAAGTAAAATTACTAGCCTCATTGTCATAATTTTTAAAATAAAAACAAAAACAAAATACTTGAATGAGACCTATGAAACACAGAAAACGCAACAGCCTAGTTTTCTTTAATTTCCCCATTTTCCCTTCAAGCAGGAAAAAGCCTAAATTCAAACATTTAAGTGGAGGCGCGGCGTGCGTGCAGGGACCACACCGCAATCACAGGTACACAAGCCTGGCCATCTCTGAAAGGACGGGCGCACGGCCTCCGACAGATGCGACCCGGGAATGAGCACAGCCCGAAGTCCTCATCTGAAAGCCTCTGACTCCTGCGGCTGCATCGAGGAGCCGTCAGAGAGCCAGAGGCTCAGAAAACCCGATCCAGCTTGCACGAATGCTTAAAACACACGGTACAAATGTCTTTTTTTTTTTGTCATTTTGTTTTGAAAAGCTTAGAGTGGCTTGTTCATTTTTCTATTCTAATGTGTGGAAATTCTCATTATGTGAAAAAGTGCCTATTTGTCTTTCTCCCAGATTCTCCCTTCAAAGCTAAAGCAAAATTAAATTGGGACATCAGACACTAGAAAAAGGCCAGAAAGGACGAGTTTCCCTTTGAGAAAGGTAATTTAATTTAGTCAAGATGCATTACAATTTTCTAAAATTTTTATTAGCTGTGCTGTTATGTTGTTCTTTTATTTTCTTTGCATTTCCAGCACTGCTAGGAGTTAATGTCCACCATACTGCAGACAATGAGAGGGTACAGATGAAGTGCTTTATGAAAAATATAACATTATAATATATACTCTAATGCCAACAAGATGGTGTTTGTGTGGTGATTTATTTGCTCTAAGCATCCAGGGCTTCTGGTAACACCTTAAGTCAGTTACTATTGTTGCTTTCATTTTGCAGACAAGACAGAAGGACCACAGCAAAGCTTAGAACTCAGGTTTGTTTCACTCCAAACTCCAGAATGTGGTCAATTCTACTTGATGCATTTTGTTAGAGTACATGGATGTAAAAATCATCTCTAGGGTGATTCATAAAGTATTGAGATATATAAAAATATATTTCATTCTTCTGGAAAAGCTGAGTATTTTTAGTTTTAAAATATGCTTACATCTGTGCAATGTAACAATTACCTATAAGTGTAGCTATAAGCCTTTAGCTACTTCTCAGATTACAGATTGGTAATAACATATAGAACAAGATTAGGTTAAGGAAAAAAAACAAGAAATCCATTTTTTTCTTGCATTTGAATAGCTATATGTGCATGAAACATCATGCACTATTTCAAGGCAAGAAGTTCTTCCTTAATTTTTTTCAGATAAATAACAAAATGATATGTTTATTACCTACGTCAAATCTAGGTTTGCCTGAATTCCTTTAGTGAATCTCAATAACTGAGTTTGTAGACACAGGAAAAAAGAAATCGCAAGTAGTGTCTCATCCTAAAAGGTCAGAAAGGAAAAGGAGTGGAATCTGAGGATCCACAATGAAAAGAACATGAAGTGCTTTTCAAAAGAATGTGAAAAACGAAATCCTTAAAGTTTACATATTTTAAAACATTACCGTAACTGTATATAAAATGGACATGTCTGTGTAAATATGTGAAATACACACATGCACACTAGCCCCCACATAGACACTCCCTAAAATCTGATCACAGCTGTATTATCCATGACATTGCAGCTTTAAAGTTATTTTTCATATTCTGTTTGTATAGGGAATTACCTGTGACTTGATTAAAATATGAAATACACAACAGAGGTTCACTGCATAAAAACCACTCCAAACAAAATACAAACAAAGCAGAACCAGCTCTGATAAAATCCTTTGCACAGACATCTTTTAAAACTGGACTGGCTTTCAACGATAAGATTTCACCTTCATACACACAGCCCACATTTAATGAGCACGACGTGAAGATGTCAACCCAAAATACGACAGACTCTGACGTACTCGGACGGTTCCAGGATCCGGGCCCCAGTGACGGAAGTGCCACAGGACTCAGGTCAAGTAACTGGGAACTACACGATCCTTCCTTAACCAAACGCATGGCGATTTGCTTTGCATTAAGAAACTGTAAATATTTAAGAGCAGCTAAAAAGCTCTGCCTTGTGAAGTAAAAATCTAAAGCTATTTTTGCAGGAACTCTTCAGTGTTGTCATAATCATTTTAATTAAATTCTCATTTTTCAGGTGGTCCCTTTAATTGTTTTTTCCTACTTCTTAATGTGTTTTTCTAAAGCCATTTCTTTTCTGCAGCTGTGTGCGATTGGTTTTAATGGTAGCTGCTTCCTTTTTTGCCTTCTGTGAATTACAATTTTAAATGGTTACACATTTTTTGTTTTACTGCCTTCAGCATAGTTTCATAAAGATGTTTAAGGCTGTTGGTGAACATTTTCATTTCCCATCTGAAAAACCAAGAGCCATTTGAATATTCCATATTGGCCTTTTATGACCTGCTTTACTTTTAATATGGAAACGACAGCATATTTTTTATAAAGACCGGTTTGTTTCCATGAAATCATAATTTCTTTTGCTCTTTTAAAATATGAATTCAATAAACAAGATAATATGTGATTGTACTTTTTATGTTTATCTTATTGTTCATGAATGAAACACCTCGATTCTATGTGACGACAGCCATTTACAATGAAGAACTGGCATTTTCAGACCATGAGAATAACTTATAATATGAGAAATCAGGTTTCACACTTGGATGTGAATTATCAGTGGACACAAAATGTCAATGATGAGGCTATCTAGGTATTTCTTAAATTTTAAGTTAAGAAATTAAAACTACTTGATAATCCAGTTTCACTTTCATGATGATGAAAAAGATAAATTCACTGAAAAGTGTTATATTGCATGTTGCTTATAAAAGTTTACTTATAAAATAAACTGCACTTACTGCCTGGGTTATCTCCGATCCCACTGCTTTTCCCGTTCCAGTACCAGAGCAGAAGGGTTGCATCACGTGATCCTGAGAGAATGTAGCAATTTCCCCCAATGTATGACTCAGAACGGGTGAGGCAAGTGACGACATCCCAATGGCCAAACACAACTTGAACCAATTTGCCTGAAAAACAAAACAATTTTCTTTAAAATTGCTATTAATTTTTTAAAATTCCCAGTGAGCATTTCACTTAGTAAGATCATAAAGCCTTATTAACTCAGATTCTGATAATTCAGATTTTACAATAATATTTGATCTAGTCTGACCTAAAAGTTTTCTTTGGGTAGTAACACTAACAAAAAAACCCCAGTTGAATGGTGATAATAGTATTTTTGAAAGGCAAAAACCATTTCTTGCTTTTTAATTTAATTAAGTAATGTTTATTTATAGAGAAAGGGGAAGGGAGGGAGAAAAAGTGGGAAAGAAACATCCATCAGTCACCCCTTGCATGTGCCTGGACAGGGGACCGAACCCACAACCCAGGCATGTGCCCTGACCAGGAATCCAACCAGCGGCCTTCTGCTTTGCCAGACGATGCCCAACCAACTGAGCCACCCTGGTCAGGGTGAAAGGCAAAGCCTAGTTCAATTCAAACAACAATATTTAAGGACCATGAGACCATATCATTATAATAGCTACTATAAGTTACTAATGAATCATACTTACCGATGAAACACCCAGGAGAACCCTTATTTGGAACCATTTCCACATTGTCTTAAGTTGCTCTACATGATCCAAAGCACAACAAAACCTACTTGCTCTTGTCTATGTACTCTATAATTCAGACGTCACTAATAAAAACCCATCTCAGTTAGTCAAGATTTAATGCATTTCTTCTTCTTTTTAAAAGTGATCTACACAAGGACAATGTAAGTCACTGTGGACAGCTTCTGTTTTTTCAAACCAGGACTACAAGAACTAAGTTTTGATAAAAGGACTAATACGTTGTGGTTGCAATTGGAACCAGGTCATTCTTTCTTTGATTTCATTTCATCTGAATAATGAAACTTCCTTGGGGGGGCTGATGACAGAATCAAGGAAGATCAGGGCAGTTGGTCCAACGGCAAAGACTGGCGGTGATGGGGGAGGGGCCCGATACACTTAACACACGTCTAGGGCTTCGAACACAGGATGGATCCTTCACAGAATTACGTCAGAACCCAGTCAAGCCCCTGCCTTTTATTACCTTGGTTTCATCAGCTCTGGTATCTATAACTCACACAGACTTGTCCAAAGAACTGAATACCTACAGCAGACCTTCCCTTACATCCCAATAGTTTTTAGCTAACATTTTTCTTTGCAATGTCTACAGAATTTTAAAATGGATGTCACAGAATGTCTGCCTTTAGTATTCATAATGAGTTTTTAAATCAGTGTTTCAGTGGGGTCACAAAAATTATAATTTGAATGGTTCAAGGGAAAAAGAGCACTAAGCTGGAAAAAAACTAGTATGACTGAAAAGTTCATGTGTTCAACTTGGAACACATCATAACCTATTTAAAAGCTTAAGGTCTCAAGTATTGGCATCTAAGTATATTTAACTTTTTAAAATAATAATAAATATAACTAAAAAGTATTTACATTAAATTGTTTTAATTTTCTATTTTAATAAACACAAAGCTTATTACAAATGCTGCAAATTTAGAAATATAATACTGAAATATACTTTATTTAAATCCAATGGAAAGTCAAAGTCAGTGTGTTCACTCTTGCATGTATATGACCACTAGTAACTTTAAAATCAGATTCATTTCAATTTCAAGTTGCAAAGTTAATAAAGTACATTTTCTTCTGTGAATAAAGACTTCAGTCAAAGAAGGTACTTTACTTGCAAAATGTTAATATTCATTCCTGAATTTCTTCAGCCTTTTAAACTAACATTGAAACATTTTCTTTTAAAAAGTAGCTATATCTGTAAAGAATGTGGTAAGAAGAATTCAAGACTTTCCAAGATAAAAAATGGAAAATAAGTTAAATATAAAAATGTAATAATTTTCATATAATTTCCAGTTTACATGTGGAACAAAGTGGAGAGATTTCATGGTAAAATGGGTGGGGTTAAATTACAGGTGGGCCTTTCAAAGGAGGAGAGAGAAATTAGGTAGGTGAATGCACTCTCACTACAGATTAGAAAACCGAAGGTTAAATCAGTGAGTTTTAACTAGGAAGGAAACAGAACTGCACTGTCGTGGTTGTTATTGACCACAGAGCATGTGCAACGACGTCTGGCTCGGCCTGTACCTAAACGCTGAGAGCATGCAAACTAGGAGTGACTTAAATAGGCTGTTTAGAGTGAGCTCACTTAAGACTCGACACCCATCAGCTCGGTGGGTTGCAGGACTGAGAATGAGTGAGGTCACTACAACAAGATACTGTCGGTACTCAGGGCAGGGGAAAGGCAAGTGCGCCCCCCACGTGGACCAGGAGGCTCGCAAAAAGGCAGCTGTTCATTCAGCTATGTGGGTCGATTCCAACTCACCTGAGGACAAAGTAGAAAGTTGTATCTATAAAGGTGGGATGGAATAAATATGTGACAACTATCCAAAATTCATTTACTAAGTTTCATTAGTTAAGTCGTCACTGTGTATCTAGAACATCAGTGACAGGAAAATGGATACGAAGTCACTGGTTTCTTTTTTAACTAAAAATTTCCACTGCTTTAATTTTTGCCCCAAAAGTTATCACAGTGATTATTCATTCAACAAACATTTACTGAGCATCTACTAAGTGCCACACAGGAGGCCCTCGTACATCTACACAGTGGTAAACAGATGTGGCAAACAGACATGGTCCCTGCCCCCATAGCACTGACTGTCCAGTGGGGCAGACAGACATTAAACAAACACAGATACATAATTAGGAACAGTGATTAGTACTATAAAAATACAAAAGTGGGATCAGTAAGAAAAATGAGGTAGAACAAATTTAGGTTGGGCATCAGGGAAGAACAAAATGGGTGAGTGACGTTTCAGTATTTATATCTAAAGGGTTTCATATTTTAACACAAACTAATTTTATTCTCTACAATTTATACTTTGGGCTCAACTCTGGAAAACATTATTTTTTTAAGTTTACTTTTTTCCTGTTCTGGCAGCCATTCTTGGCAATGTATGTTATTGCTACGAGGTTGAGGTTCACTCCTCCTAAATAAATCACAGCATATAAATACCTGCTGCTCTTTGGGTAAATTATTTTCTGATAATCTCATAAGTGTTCCTCAACCTTTATTTTTTGTTTCCTTTAATACCAGTCCACCTCTCCACACACTAATATCAAATATTACCACGAGCACTAGAATATCCCTTTTTTTTTTGACAGAACAAATTTTCTAGTTAATGTTTTATTTGACAGCTGTGCTACAAATAAAAAAAATTCCAGCTCAGGACTCTGCACCACTGAATCTAAAATGTGGCCTGAAAATGATTCCCACTGCTGAGGGAAGGTTTTATTGTTGCCTCTGCTGTTCTGGTTGTGTCCCGAAAACATGATTTATGTTAAAAGAATTTCCTGTTACAACCGTGTTTCTTCCCTCTCCCCCTCCCAAACCTAATAAGAGAAGGATTTTTTTTTTGGCTTATGTGCTAAAATATAATTGAATTCAACACTTGTGATAGCTTTGCCATTACATATTATTGATCATACAATTTTTTGCTTGCTTCTCTGCCAGACTTAGGAGAGTACATTTAATATACACATATTGTCAAGAACGCAGTTACCCTAACTTAAGCTATTTTAAATAAAACTAGCATCAGAGTTTGTTTGTATACAAAATATTAAGAAAGATACGAAGACAATCGTTTGAGAATTTTTCACTTTTATGGCAAGCACCATATATATTTTTACCGAACAAATCAAATCAGTCCCATTAACATGAAGTTTAAAATAAGGCCACTTATTATGAAAATGTTTTACACACACACACACACACACACACACAATTTGAAAAAAAAGTAAACTGGAGGGTTTGGAAAGAGGGGAGGAAATGCTGTCTACTTTATTAAGTCTGACGTAACACGGCAGACACACTAAGAACTGAGCGTTTTCCAAACTAACCCCAATGACCAGCAGCTAACACCTGTATGAGGCAGCATGGTATAATCCCAAAGCGTGCTACATCTGAATTAACAGAAGCTGGCTCCAACTCCCAGGTCTATTCACCAATATGTATGCAAATTTCAGCAAGTCAAGCTTTCTCAATCTCAGTTTCATCACCTGAAAAAATGGGGATAAGGGCACCTATTTTGTCTGTCCCACTGGATTATTGTGAGGCTGTAATGAAATGTGACGGAACTTTGTAAATTCTAAAGAACTGTGTTTGAGTGTAAGCTTTAAGTATAACTATTACATAAAGCGAGGTTAGCTTTACAAATATTTAATAGTCAATACCTTTTAAAAACAATATGGAAGGGCGACAAACTCAAAAACCCTCAAATGGCAAGACCAGAGATTACCATAACATATAATTCCACATATCCGACATTCTGGAAAGGGCACAATCCTAGAGATCAGTGGAGGCAAAGAGGGGGCAGTGGGGGCGGAGCCGACTACAAAGGGGCAGCGCAGGGGGGCGGGGCCTGGGGGGGCCGGAGGTTCCTCTGCACCTGCAGTGTGGTGGAGGCTGCAGAGCTCCAGACGCTGCCAACACTAACGGAACTGTGTACCCAAGACTGAGTGTTACTGCACACACACGGAAAGATAATTTTCAAAAATCTATAAAAAACCATTATGTACTATAGGGATGTTCAAGAAAATCTTTTAAGAGTATGAAACAATTTCAATCTGAAAGTTTTTGCAAACACGAAGCACAACCTGAGGTCAAACAATGTGAGGGTGGTCATTACCGTATAGTAAAAGAAAAGGTTAATATTTAAATTTGATTATTAAATCAGAGAACATTCATTATGATCATACAGATACTATAGGAGAATATATCGATCTCCACTGCAGTTTTTAAGAATTCTAGAGGAGTTTTAGGTTCTACAATAATCAACCTCATAGACCTAAATGTGTAATAAAAGCCCAGCAAATCAGAAAGATTTAAATAATGATGTTTCTTTCTGGACCTATAGAATAAAGATAAAAATTATTAAAAAAAAACAAAACTAGATCACCAATTTCATAAAACAAAAAATAAATAGGGTCATGACTAAAAGCAAGTAGGGTTTATTCCATGAACAATATATATTCAACCATTTTCCCTCCTCCCTCATACTGCTACATTATTGTCATAAGAAAACACTCAGGACAAACTCCTTCAATAGCTGGCCATTGCCTTTTCAATACACTGTACTTGCTAAGGCAGGATAACGGGCTCATACACTTTATAAACATTACCAACAAGACTGAAAGATGACTTGCTGTAAAACATTTAATAAACTAGAAATTTCAATTAAAAACATTTAAATCAACACATTTGTAGAGTCCTGACCAGTGTGGCTCAGTGAACTGGGCATCATCCTGCAAACCAAAAGGTCGCCAGTTCAATTCCCAGTCAGGGCACATGCCTGGGTTGGGGGCCAGGTCCCCAGTAGGGAGCATACAAGAGGCAGCCAATCAATATTTCTCTCCTTTTTTCTTCCTTTCTTCCTTCCTCTCTAAAAATAAATAAAACCTGAAAAAATTATAAAGCTTTGCTTTAGCTGAAATATTTACTTACACAGTACCTATCAAGTTCTAATGCATTAATATATAGTGTCAATTATTTTAAAATATTCATGTGTGTGTGTGTGTTTACTTAATCCTCTACAGTTTCTAAAATATTCTAAAGAGATTCCACTAAATCTTTCAATGTTTCTTAATTTCCTATATGCAAACATTTATATACATTTATTGGATTGGATCTTCTGTAATAACACCAAGTTGAGCTTGGTTTGTCCTTAAGGAAATGCATGGAAATGAATAAAGAGACTTAAACTTTCATATTTTAACAAGAGCTGTCACATAAAATCAGTAGTCAGCTACTCTTCTTCATGATAGTGTAGATTTCATTTCAGCAAGATTCTGGGCAGAACTGGGTGGAGGAAGATTTCTACTCCCAACAAATACACCTAATGAGAATTTCCAGTAGGGAAAAGAAATCCTTTAAATAATACAAAAGTGAGAACATACACACACACGTGTGTGTGTGCACCTACGAGATTGTGCATATACACGTGTACATGGCATTTACGTGCCATCCTACGCTTTCACAGTGAATCATTCATTTGTAAGCATGAGGCTTGGGTGAGAAATCTACTACAAAACACTGACTCTTAAAAAAAAACATGCTGAAATTAACAGTAAATTGGGAAAACACATCGTTCCTTTATTTTATGAACTTTAGAATTCTGTAATATTTAGAAGGAAGAAGAGGAGAAAGCATTCTAAGTCTCTCAATGTTACTTGGAGAAAACTTCAGTTCGCGGACGAAGAATACGACAGGTACCTGTGTCTGTCGAGTAGACGCGGAAACTCTTATCCCAGAAGCCACAGATGAGAATATAGCGGTTGTCTGAGGTGATGACAAAGCACTGGGAATGGACTTGGATGCTCTGGTCCAAGAGGTCCGTGATTTGCCTTCTGTGCATTCCTGTATTGCTGGCTATGAGAACACAGGAACGGGAAAAAAAGCTTACTAAACATTAAACCCACACATGCAAAGAAATCCTATAGTTTGTTATACTGGGGATGGCGGGGTGAGGGCGGAGAGGAGGCACATTCCAAGGTAAGAATATTTGATTTTTAATTTTAAATACAGTAATATTTGAAAGACCAAATAGGAAAACACATCCGATTGTTGGAAGGACGTGGGTAGCTAAATTCAACAGTGCAGTAGGAAATTTTGCCTAGAGGAAAGAAATAATAACATACTATAACTTAAAAATAGTGTACAATTCTCAGAACATGCTTTCTAGCTCTTGGGCAGGACCAAACTAGATTACAATCTCCAGACCACATCACAGTTAGGTTTGTGTTTCTGACAATCTCATTACATCCACTGCCAGGAGAACGGCTTCCTGTTGTGACAATCTATTACCTTTAACTTTTTGTCACTAGGAAGAGATACTACAATTTAAATGTTATGTATCTGAAATATTGTAGCATCTTGTACTGCTCTGGCTGTAACAGGTCTTTGACTTCACTAGATGGGAACTCCCTCTTCCCTGTTTCCAGCTGCACTCGTGTGGAAGGGGAGAGTGACTGTTTATTAAAGAAACTTGTAACTGAAAAAGTCAAAGCACAGCGCGCTGCCACTCTCTCACCCCTTCCGTGAGCAATAAAACAAGACAGCCTGGCGGCGTGTTTCCAAAGTGCCACCGCGCACCTGAGATGGGGTTTGTCACGAGGCGCAAGGTCACACACACAGCGGCATCAGGCGCGGGGGAAGAGTAATCATCTTCTAGAAACACGCTACCGGGTATGTCATTATCGGAAAAGGACTTTTCACCGAGGTGACTTTTTTGGCATTATGAGGCCAGCCAGGCAGAAAACTTTGTTTCTAGACGTTGAAGGAGTCTTTCACACTAACTTCCCAGAATAAATAATGATTCTTACATTGCTCAAGAATTTTGATTGCAACAGAAATTGAAACAAACAAAATAAATTTCTGCATCTGATTATTATGTACTTTATACCATAGTCGCCACTTCAAAAAAATACTATAAATGTATTATTGAGAGACACAACAATAGGAAAATATCTATACTGTATTCACTGTTTATAATAACTAAGTCAATGTGGCCAATTTAATAAGGTTCAGAGAAGAACACAGAAGATAAATGTGTTCAAAATACTCTCCAATGCTTCGCCGGGAAGCCCGGGGGACACGGAGGAATAAAACATTCCCTGCCCTCAGGACGTAACACAACACGCCAAACATACACACGGACACGCGACACACTGCGCACGCTTGCCATGCCTGACTGCACAACCTAACCACGCAAGGGCAGTCGTGACTGTCTGTGAGCAGGACTCCTGCACTCTGGGCGCTCGGTGGGCTACGAAGTGACAGCACTGGTTTAAAGGGCAGAGCTGTGCTCTGGGGCCCTGTCCTCCCTCCTTCAGCAAAGGGAGGCTGCTGCAGCTGAGGAGAACTTGTACGGGAGCCGCCGTGAGTCACAGGGAGATATCAGTGCCCCCTGGAGGGCAGCTGTGTGATACACTTCAGGTGTTTTCTTCTTCAATCCCAAGAAACCTAGCAGTTAAAAACAAGGTATGCAGCACTTTCTAGATGGGTTATTACAGTCTTTTATTCCCTATGTGAAAATGTTCATTTTTGTCAGTGTTTTTGTGACTTTTGCTCCTATAATATAAACTTTGATACTGGTCTTTTGCGGGGCTTGTGATATCTTGGGAGGGCCTAGCCGACAGACTTGGGCATGGGCGTAATTTTGAACTGTGACCACCGAGTACCCATGGGTAAAGGCTGATGCCCCTTGAACATTCGTAATGAACTAGTTGTCAAGTAAATGCTTACCTGTAAGTTGACATTGCAATACCTGTCTGAATGTCTATCTATCCATCTCTCCATCTCTCCATCCATCCATACACCCAACCGTCCATCTATCTATCTATCCATCCATCCATCCATGTATCCATCCATCCATCCAACCGTCCAACCGTCCATCCATCCATCCAACCATCTGACTATCCATCCGTCCATCCATCCATCCGACCTACCTACCTCATGATTGCCTTTCCTTTATCTCTCATGTTTTCTCTAGTAAACCACCTGAGAGTCAGTGCTAAAGTATTTTTATTTAGTGAAAATTAGGTATATTTGTCTAGATAAGCAGTCTTCAACCTGTGGTTTGCCTGACCCTGGGTGGGGGTTGGTTTAAGATTTCCCCAGGGATATGCTGGCACAGATGGTTTTAAGGGGATCACTTTCTAGTTCCTCAGCTTTCATATTGTTCTCCCTGCCTGAGAACTCTCCTGTGAGTTTTCCTCACCAACCTTCCCTTTCCCACGCTCTTCTCCCACTGGATGAAATTACGGCTTATTTCTCTCCTATCCAGACTCTTCCTATGGTGCTTCACCTCAGGGTAGAAAAATCTTGAAAGTCAAGTAATGGGACAATTCGAAATACTAATGTGATGCTGAAAAGTGAAGGTGCAGGTATCAAATTAGCCCACCGAGCAGGCGGTTTCCAATTCATTGCTTTCAGTTCAATGGAAGGAAGATCCGCTCAGGCTGTCAATTGATAGATCATTAAAAATAAGTTTCAACGACAGATTGTTAAAATGATTGTTGAGTGACAGACCATAAAAATAATTCTCAATAATAGACCACTATATGAATGTTTTCACGTCACCCAGCAAGAGCTCAAAGGTTTGAGTGACATTATTAAAACAAAACTCTTTCCTTTCCCATTTATTTTCTCACGTTGAGTGACATTCCTCAGGGCTTCTGTTTGTAAAAAACAAACAAAATTGAACAGAACTGTTGACAAATCCTGTCTTGTTCAGCAACAAATAATGATCATCCATGAATATAGGAGCTATTTCATGAAAGATGTATTTCTAATAAATGCTTGTTTTGTGTTTAATGTTTATAAAAATTTATAATTTTTAATCAGTTTTCAAAAAATAAAATAGAACTATGTAGGGGAAGTACAATGAAAATATAAATTTAAGGTGTAAAAAGAAATAATGTAAAATTTTCAACTAGAGATTTTTATGCATTTTTTTAAAAACAAAATGTTGAGAGCCCTGGCTGGTGTAGCTCAGTGGATTGAGCGCGGGCTGCGAACTAAAGTGTCGCAGGTTCGATTCCCAGTCAGGGTACATGCCTGGGTTGCAGGCCATGGCCCCCAGCAACGGCACATTGATGTTCTCTCTCTCTTTCTCCCTCCCTTCCCTCTCTAAAAATAAATAAAATATTTAAAACAAAAAAAACACGTTTAAAAAAAACAAAAACAAAATGTTGAGTATCAATTCCCTTTGATATTTAGGTTCAACTGAATGCATTTAAAATTTTATATGTTTTGTAGCTGCTTAAACTTATGATGAAAACTTTTCGGATGTCAACTTAAAAATGTGTGAGAAGGTACATGGATTTTAACAATTATTTTAGGAGGCAGAGGAGCAAACGATCTGATGACCGGGGTTCTACAGCAGGAGAGGAAACTCTGGCCCACAGGCCACATTTGGCCCGTGTCTGGTTTTGTATATAAAGTTTTATTGGAACACAGCGATGCTCATGTGTTTACACTCTGTCCATGGCTGCTTTTGTGCTGTGACAGCAGAGTAAAGTTGCTGTGTCTGAGGCCTTATGGCCCACAAAGCCTAAAGTATTTACTGTCTGGCCCTTTACCAAAAAGTTGACCCATGCCTGGTGTAAAGGGTTATAACTGCTGAACTCATTCAATTATGGACTTTATACTATGGGATACACATTGTGAAGTTTTAAGGCAAATGGTAAGTCTGTACTTTAGAAATAGTGCTTTAAATGACTGAACAAATGGGCTTTATTATTTCCTGACATTTAAAACTTGACCAAAGTGAGCATTTGATTTTTTTTAAATATAAGGTATATCATATCTACTCAAAGCAAAACAAGATTTTGGAACAAGTGTAATATTAATCCTCCATATAGATAGTTACTTCTTAGATTTCTATTCATATTTGGGGAAATGATAAATAACTTAGTTTTGAGCTTAAAATTATTGTAGCTCCTCTTGATGGTTCCTCTGCAAATGGCGGCCATGTGGCCATCTAGTGAAACATTGGTTTGACACACGAGAACGGTGACATACAAAGAGGGAAAGTCTCGAATTTTCAACCACTGAATCTGCTTAGTCACATGCTTTATTTAAAGACTTTAAAATTCTAGCAACGGTGCTTGTGCCAGAAAAATCTGACAAAATTATAAGCCAAGCATCCATACTAGTAGTATACCCCTATAGATATGCAATTAAGTCTTTAACCTTAAAAGCTATTGAACACAGAATCTTTAACATCCAGGCTTAAATTCTTAGTGAAGCCATATTTGCAAGGATGAAGAATACTAAAATTAGAGATTTCAACGAACCTACTCAAAAGGCAGAACAGCAATTAAGTATTCTAAGTCATCTGCTGCTGATGCTCATTTCATCCCTACAGCTCTTCCTGGTCTCCTTCCTTTTCCTTTTCTTTCCCCCTGAACAAATTTAACCTCCAATGGCAATTTATTGGGCTGTAGGACCCTAGGAAAATGAATACGAATATCTTAACACTGCCATTGGCTGGGCAATATATTTCAACTTTGAAACTGCTCTGCAATTGCCCATTAATCCCCTCAGACTGAATAGAGGGTCCAGGAAGAAAGGATTGATCTCCTTTAATGATGAAACCCTGGCACTACAGTTTTATTTTTCACAACACAGTGCTGCTAAGAACCCCACTGTTATTATGAAAATTTCCCTAGCAAAGGAGCTCCATCACATTACTGGTGCACCAATTCATCATAACGTGCCTCGCTCCTGCTCATCAACAAGTCTGAGTGATGAAAAGATCCAATATTATCCTGACAGTACTTCATGCGCATTCTCAATCACACATTATTACAGCATCCATATTAATTTTCAGTGACACGCGTCCTAGGCCTGTTCAAATTAGGCAAACCAACGAGGGGGAGTTGATGAAATACCAGCATAGCCACAGCTCATTGCATTCCAATTTGCATGCAAATGGTTTATCAGGAAAATTCCATTCCCAGCAACCAGCAAGTGAAAAACAACTGTAATCTACACTTCAGGGCCACCATACAGAGCTTAATGAATCGCAAAGAGAGAAGGAAGTGACAGACCTATGAGAGGATCGATTTCCACTGGCAGCTGGTATGGCTGGTCTTGTACAGCACCTTGATGAGCTGGAATTCACAAAAGATTTTTAAAAACAGCATTATTTTTCATATATAAACTACACAAAAACGCATAAGTCACATCTCATGTACAATTGTTTCCAACCCCCAAACCTCGCATACGGTTTAGCGAAATTTAAAGAAAAAAAAAAACAGCCCAGGTGCTTTTCTGGCTAGCTCATGGAACATTTATTTTAGATTAGAGCTGTGCTGAACCTGTGCCATCAGCAGTGGCTCTGGTCCTGGGCCATAAGCTATAGCAGATGCTTGACTGGCAACCTCTGATGCTGCAACAAAACAAAATTAAGTGGTAAAGCGCACTGAAAACAAAATGTGACAACCATCTGCTGACTGTAGCAAATACTATTTTTTTGTTACTTCTTTAAAAGGCAGTCCTGAGTGCTGCGGCACAAAGGCTCCACGAAAACGTCAATTTATGATGGAGAAAGGGAAGGCTCTAAGTCAGGGAACATTTAATGTTTCATCCATCACTTAAAATCAATCAATCGAAAGTTTGAATACAAATAAAGAAAGCTATCTGCAGATGAATGTTTCAGTTAAATGCATTTGACTGAAATATTTTCCTCAAGGTTTGAGGTTTTTTAAAAAAAAGTTTTATTAATATTTAATATTGCCATGGTTTCCATTTAAAAATACCCCAAGAAGCAAATGTGTAACAAAAATCAATCCGTACTAAGAACAGTTTGTTCGATTCTCAGAATGGTTCTAAAGAGACGGGCGTGTTGATTTCGTCGTGGAGAAGAGCTGGTGAGGCTGTCCCCCGCCCATGACAGGCAGAGGTCTCTAGGAGGAGAGGAAGTGCTCTGCTGGCGGCTGGCTGTGCACCCTGGGCAAACCATAAACCCCAAAATGAAGGGTTTGGACTAGATGATCTTTTCGGCTTTATAATTCTGGTAGTTAAATTCTGGGACCTTTTCCAAACGATTTTCCCCAAATGACTCAGCCACTCATCCTGGTCAGTATCTGCCTTTCATAGACTCATAAGCATTTAAACTGCTTGGTCAGTATTAGAGCTCTGCTTAATACCATCAGATTTTAGGAAATCTTTCTGACTGTCCTTGAGGGGCCTGGATATAAAAATGCAGTGCATTCCAATGAGTTCATTAGATTTTTAAATTTATCATGTCACCATTTCCCATTAGCAAATACCAACTTTTCAAGGATGTCTGGAAGATAAAATAAGCAATACAGTATTAGCACTAAAAATTATAGGTGAGTATCCATAAGAAGTTAAACTGGCTGCAGCAAGGAAGTCATATGGCTCTGCCAAGTAAGGAAATCACAGGGTGCACACACAGAATGATCAGGGAACCTGTACCACAGCCTCTCACTCACCCAACAGTGCCATCTACTTCCAGTAAAACCAGTGCCGACCAACGCTAACACTAATCCGTGAGGATTCTTCGCTACTTCTTGAGAACCTGGGCTCACAGAAACATTAAAACCAAAAGGCCGGTGAAGGAGGTTCTGTTAACTGCCTTGCTTTGGTCAGGTCCCCAATCCCACTCCTGTCGCGGATGGCCTGTGTGACCCTGGGCAAGTTACGGAATCTCTGTGTTTCAGCTTCCTGACCTGTACAGTGGGTTAGATAGGTTCATTAGGGTAAACCGTATGAAACGACCAATAACCGACATGTTGACTGATTAAAAGAGGCAATTTCATATGGTTCAACCTAAATACGGAATTGACACCCTAAGGTCGTGGAGTGATTAAAGCAATGTTTAGAACCTAGAATATGCTCTATAAGCTTTTTATTTTCCTCTCGAGTTTCTACAAGGGCCTTTGAGTGAGAAAAAAAGGGACCTTTCTTTTCTTTCCCTAAATGAGGACTCAGACATGACGGAAATAAATGACAGGAGCTAGCTGTCTAATGAACAAGCTACTGAAATCACAGACCCTCGGAGAAGAACCAGAATCGAAACCGAAAAAGAAAAAAAAATGAGTGTAAAACGAATTTGATATTCACTGAAAAAAAACTGTTAGGGATTCGTGACAGTTCCCTAAAATCAGAGCATCCTGACAGGTAAAGGTAGTACAGGACAGGATGAAAGATCGGGTGTAGGTAAATAGACCTGCAACGAGGCACAGATCTAATAAAGTGCAAGCTCAACACTGTTGGGTGGAGGGGGAGGTGCAGCTCCGGCCTGGAGAGCGCACTGTGCAGAGGCAGGCAGCTCTGTGCTCCCACACCACCATTCGCTGTGCTTGGCGGGGGGAGAGCTGCTGTGAGATGCTGTGAAGACATAGGGCGGGGGCAGAAACTGCTAGTGACACAAGGTACCGGCACAAAGAAGCCTCACTGGGAAGAATGACAGGCAAAGAATCGGCACAACACAGGCAGTCCCCAAGCTCCTGTCTCACAGAAAGGTGCATGTGGGCTGGGGACAGCGGCTGCCCCATCAGTGGTAGTCAGCACAGGGATGCGGCCCCTCCATCTCCTTCCATATCTAGAGAAAAGCTGGAAGGAGGGAAAAGGACACCGACAACCAAGTATTGAGGGAAGCAAGCTTTCCAGCCAGGAAAATGGGCTTGCTCAAAAGGGGAGTGTGGGGGGGGGGGCGCTGTCATCAGTGCCTAGCAAGTGTGCCCAGCACGCTGAGAACCAGCGGTAGGCCTGGCAGTGCTTTGGTGAAGCAGCTCAGTTGCTGCCCAGCTCTTTGCTAAGCTAAACCAAAGAGGGGGCGGCAGTGGTCAGCACTTTCTGGCAGATGAACAGGTTTGTCGCTCCTCACATATGGTGTCACTGTTTAAAGTGAAGTTCTCACCAATAGCCACCCAGGATAAGCCTCAGGGTGGCCCTGCGTCACACGCACCAGAGCTTCTAGCAAGCTCTAAGGGTAGCAGCACACGAAGTGGGCACCTCCTCCAGAGCACCCGCTACAACACACCACCGGCGTGTTTCTCATCTAAGGGGTGGCATTTAGAGAACCCAAAACTCCATTCGTTCATTGAAGTATAACCTTTGGTTCCAAAATACATGGTTTGCATATACATTTACCTCTGTAAAATAAATTCACTTGAAGAAAAAGGCATTAGAAGACCTAATAACAGGCATTTATACCTGTCTCAATGTTTACCTTCTCCACTTTTTTTGAAGTCTAATCAACTATTGGCATTTATTTCACTCTTCATGGCCAGGAAATGGTAATATCGAATAAATTCTGGTACCAACAGATCCTTCACCCCGCGTACCTTCCGGAGCACAGTCAGTGCACCAGATTCATGTTGGAATGTCAGTTCAGTTCTGTCCCAGCCTAAAAACTCCTCCATTTAAATGTGGAATGAGGCTCTTGTTCAAAAATCTGTATTTTTTGCAGCCATTTCAGGTATTATAATGAGCAGTGCTTATGTGCATACTTTACAGATTTCATGACAAGTTAAAAGACTATTAAAATCTACTTTTAACAACTTCCCATCTAAAACAATGGCGGGGGGGGGGCCTATAATGCCCATGACTTTAAAAGAATTTCCTTCTTAAAAAAAGGATTTCTAACCAGTGGCCAAAAAGAACAGTGCTAAATCCAGATCCCAACATTTCTGTTCTAATGAGAGGCCCTAAGTCACGGAGGGATGACCCTAAAACCGGAGCCAGAGAACTCGGGTTCGAACCTGACTCAGCCACTGCCCGGCCACAGGCGGCACGGGACCAGGTGCATACCCTGGGGCCAGTGTCTTCACCAGTAATGCGTGGGGCCAGGCTCAAGGAACAGGCTCGCCTGTTTATACTTTGATGGTCTATGGTTCCAATGGGTATTCCGGTACCTTGCTGTTAGTTACCAAAACCATTCTGCACTTACTGGAAGGAGAGAATGCACTTTTGGGTTTGCGGTGTTTGGACAGAAAATGTAAGTGCTCTTTTTGCTATCATCCACAACAATACCGCCAGGTCATGCACCACCAGCACACAGCAGAGTATCAGAAGTGTGTGCTGAGTAAATGAGTAAGTGGGAAAAAGGGAACATGGGATTAATAAATACATACTATTTATGGACATAATATAGAATACCATGGTATCAAAATATTATGTTAGAAGTAATATTTATCTCCTAAGAATAAGGACAAATGCCAGATGCCAAAGAACTGTTTATGCTTTAGCATCTGTATTAATATGCCTCATCTGGGACTTCTTTAAGTCTTTCAAATTATTACACATTTTGACTCAGACTGAAGCTTGAAAATAGAAGAGCATAACTGCTGAGGTATACATTTAAGTAGACACCGCGACATCTCCGTGCAGTGCTCATCAGTGGCTGTACCTTACAGAACGATGCTTCTTTACTCACCAGGGAGGCTGTGCCACTTGTTCACGGCAAACAGCCTGTTGGCAGTGACAGTGATCACAGCAGGAGCTGCCAGACCGGGCTGGGTGTTGGCTGCCACGTGAGTGACAGGGGAGTTGGAGGGGAACTTTAGGACCATGATAACATCCTGCTGGGCTTGGTCTGTGAACATCAACGGGCTCTGCAGGAGGAGATACTATTGAGTGGGCGTGACAAGACCCAAATACACAACAAGGAAAAGACAAAGAAAGACAAGGAGGAGAGAGGGTACAGGAAAAGAAGAGGAAGACCATGTTAACACAAGCTGCAAGCGAGAGCACAGTGAGCAGAAAGGCTCATAGAAACAGCAATTAGGATTTGCTTGTTTTCATGTACGTCATTAGCTGAAATTTTTGGTGATTGAAGGAGGATATGTTAACAGAAACACTTTAAAATCAATAAATTTGACTGGTTTCATTCCCTACCCCAGTCCCATGAAGAACTAAAAGAATGATTTGATTTAGATTCTAAATAGGCAAAGTACTGGGGATCGAATTAACCCATTCTGATTGCCATTATGTGTCAAGTTCAAAAATAAATAAGTAAATAATGAGAATAGGCAGTGCGCACAAAGGCATGCCAAGGCAACTTCCACAGATCAGTGAAGATTGTGTTGCTTAAGCATGAAGATTTTGACAACTAAATAAAGAGATAATTAAAACAAACATATTTATAAACAAGTATACAACATGCATGTATTATTTCAATAGAGAAATAACTTATGAGCGTAATACAGAAACTTAATTATAAAGGCGTTTCAAAGCAATGCATAATTAAATGTACTTGCAAAAACAATATATTTATATAGTGTACCAAGTCATAAACACCCCTATTATAATGCAAATATCCTGTTTTCTTCTGTAGCTAAGAATAAAGAGAAGTACCTAGCTGCCTCTCCTCCCTCTTGGTAGAAAAAGAGCTTAAGACCTTTGATTTCTCTTTTGAAAAAGCAGAAAATACTTTAAAATGTTGCACAAAATACTATCCTAATAACTAGCAACAAAATAAATCTTGCAGACTACTAAGGATTTAGAACATTCCTATAACCCATGTTATAACCCAAGATATATATATAACCCCACTCTGATTTACTGGCTTTCCTTAGACTTTGTGGTAGCACGCTACCCTGCAGTAATTGCCCTGTTCATTTTCAGCAATTCTCTTCTACCATGTCTATTTTCTAATAGCTGATTAGTATCATTCAGAACTGAAACACTTTGATGAAATGCTTCTGGCTGCTTTCCTAGTGTCATATTTCAAAACACCAGGTATATGTAAATGTGTGTAAGCACATATATTTAACATGTATCTATTCAGAACTGCTAATAAAAAATTAAGTATATTTGCATTTTTATTATCAGTCCTTTTAAAAAAGTTATTAAGAGTACTTAGAAAAACATATTGCACTAAGAATTCCTATTTGCACTCTTTGCATAAAGGTGTAAATAAAGGCAACTAATAAGCTACCCAGACACCCTTCTGAGCAAGTGGCTAAAAGCCAATCAATATTATGAGTTAATCCTCCCCGGATGCTCATTCAATTAAAGGTGTCAGTAATGCCTCATCTGATGTGGCCTCAATTAAATCCAACTATCTGATGGTGTGAAAACACAGGGGGATACAGCAACAGCAGCACAACCAGACAAATAGGCAGCCTTCGTGTGCCTGCTAATTACTACACCTGGTGTATATTATGGCTCGTGCACTTAACGCAGCACGAGGTGGCTTTAATTTCTGCTATGTCGTGCATGTGTTTGCGCCCATGTGGGGGTGGGGTGCCCTGATGGTTGATGGGGGAACTCATCTGAATGGCAGTAAAAACAATAAACATTTGTGCCTTTTATTTTTGAAATCTCTGATATCAATACATAATCTACGTCACACAAAGGACCTTTTCTGCAGTTTTAAGGAATTCTGGGAAATTGGGTAAAAATGAGAAACAATGAGCAACATCAAACAAACTCCAAGTTAGCGATGAAGTCCTGGGAAAGGAAATGAATGTCATTTCAGATTAAGAAGCTCCATTTTTCAATTATGTAGTTTTTTAAATAATATTTACTAAAGCCACTTTACAAACTCTGAGAAAGTCAGAGTGTAACATACATCACAAAGTCTCACTGCAAGGAAGTGGATACATATTTTTGAGCTTAACAGCTCATATTGTAAATACAATTCAACTCAAATTGGACGATTCCAATGTTTATATCCTTAAAACAACACAGAAAAGTCTCTAATGTGTAGGAACAATGTCTTGTTTACACAGTGATTCCAGTGGGCCAACTCTTAGCCACACGACAAGGACAAGGCACTGTCCACAGAAGCCGCAGACACCTTGTCCAGAATGCCCCCTGCATGCTCACAACAAGCTGTCCCTCCGCCTGTTCCTACTACACACACTCCCTCTTGACTTGAGCTCCCAATGCAGGCAGTTAGCAGGAGACTCTCCGGGAAGCTCTGTCATGTCCTTGGCTAAGTATGGAAGAGGGAGCACGAGAAGGGAGCTGAAAGCACGCCCCAGCAGACGGGGCTGGTGCGCCCTGACGGCAACAGCTGCAGACGCGCAGGGCAACTGGTAAAGCGGGGATTAGAGAAACAGCCCCTCATCCAGCCCGGCCTGAGTCCATCTGTGATCCGAGGCTGAGGCAGACATAGGAAACTACTAGCCAAATTTCACTCGGTTTTCCCAGATTAAGTGTACACACTTGTTGACAACTCTGGTTTCTTTCTAACACACCTTTTTTTCCCCCCACTCGCGCATGTGTAAGATGAAAAACACAATTTGCACAGGTCTGAAGTGCAGGTTTTAAGTGCAGAGGAAAAAGCTGATGGAAGAGGCGGTCTTCTGTCCTCATCGGAACATGAGCCTTCCTGCCCTAGGGACGGTAAAGCCGGTCTGCCCCAATGAACCAGTAATCCTTGGCCAGGGAGGGAGGCTTAGCAGCGGGAGCCCCTCGCCGCCCCCGTGACCACGGCTGTGCAGTGACCCAGGGACAAAGTCAATGGGGCAGCAGAGGAGCCTCCATCAGCCAGCACCGCAGCCACCGGAGTCTCCCTGACAAGCTATTACTAAAACTAATTTCAAACCCCAGACATAAATCAGTCTTACTATTTTATTACTATTTTTATGGCATTATCTTCCATTGTTCTTGCTAACTGTTCACTTTTTGTGTAGTCTTCTGCTCACTCAAGCTCTCCTTTATGTTCATTTCAATCTGATTTCACCTGTTTAAAAACACTTGGCAACGAGGACGCAAGTAATTTTCAAAAGGCTTGTGGTTTATTACAACACCCAATTTATAGAACTAGAAAAAAAGGTTAAAAAAAAGACTTAACAGAAAAAAGAAGATAGAGGGCAAAAGGGAAAAAGACACAAAGAAGAAGGTGAGGTGGGAAGAGAAAGGAAAAAGAGCCCAAGGTGGAAAAGACCAACACTATCTCTAGCTCTCTCCTTCCTAGTATCCAGCAAAAGCCTGCCACCTCTGAGCCACAACACGGAGTCAGAATCCACCTTAAATTGTTCCGCATATTTATGGAAACAGATTGTATATTTCCTATTTTTAATTTGAAAACAGTAATGAACAACCTGTTTTATAGAGGAACAAGTGAAGAAAAAAATATAATACCCATAGTCTGTTCTTCAAAGAAACTTTTTATCATGCAATTCAGTATTTGTTACTGTGCTTTTTTTTTAACCATCAAAAAACACAACCCCTGAAATTCCAGGAACTCTACAAAGAGACAGGCCACATCATTTTGCAGACTGAGTCTGTCCCCTGCTGCTGATTCTGGGCGGGTCTCCGCCTCGCTCTGACCAATGGAACGCGGCAGAAACGATGCTGCACGGGTTCCAAGGCGAGCTCCAAGAAGTCTTGCAGGAGTGTTCCCTGGAACCCTGTGCTCCTCCCACTGGAGTGGCCTGGGCTCAGGGACTTGACAGTGAAAGACAACAGGGGAAGGGAGGTCGGGACAGCTCAGCCCACCCCACAGCAGCGAGTGGGGGAGCCAGGGAGCAGGGCAGAAGAAAGGCTCAGAATCTCGAGAAACAGAAATCACCATTGGATGCCACTAAGCCCTGGACGGTTTGGTACACCTAACCATCGTGTTTTCCTCCCTGAGGGCCCTGACCCCTCAACAACAATATCTTATGTAGTAGTAGGGTTTGTTTTAAAATTCCCAAACTGAAAAGCATACTGGGATATAGAGAATATAAACAAAAGAACTTATATGTATGACCCATGGACATGAACTAAAGTGGGTGGGAGGGGGTGTGCAGGGTGGAAGGGAGTGAAGGGGAGAAAATGGGACAACTGTAATAGCATAATCAATAAAATATATCTAAAAAAAGAATATAAACAAAACTAATCTAGGAACTCATAGGATCAAACCGGAAGGCAAATCAGTCTCAGGCCGGAAGTCTCTGTCCTGCAGTCTCTGTCCTGCAGTCAGGACACACGGTGATTATAACCCTTCCGACTCTGTGAGGAAACATGAGCTGATGAAATGCCAGAGCGCTGGAGCAATGGCTGCCTTCCCAAAGACTCCTGGGGAGCATGCGGAGGTTTTTTGCTGGTTGTTAGCAGGTTAACAAGCACTTCACGAGAACAGGCCCAGATGTGGTAGAAAATCTCAAGTACAACGAAAGATTGTTACAAATGTCAAGCATGGTCTCCAAGAGGCAAGACGCGAGAAGAGTGAAGGCAGCACTTACCGCTTGCATGGCGGAACCTCTGGGAGGATGGGGCTCGATGAGGAGCTGTGAGGGCGTCTGTCCAAAACTCCGGATTTGAGCTTCAACAGCCTGAAAAAGGCATGGGCGAGTTGGAGGGTTAAGAGGTGTTAATTACAGGCACTCGAACCACAACTGTCACCTGAAAATGTCATTCCATACTTCTGGCTTGTTTCACGCTGAAAGTCAGCCTTGTGTTTGCAGCATGGGACGCAGCACCTGGCAGGGGCACGGCGGCTGAGGTCATCCTGCAGCCCCATGGAAGCCGTGCCTATCAAACCCTGCAGAACTTCCTCGTCTTGCTCGGTGATATGAAACAGAAACCAGCTATTACAATCAGAAATTGTCCCTTTTGGCTTCATTTCTGTTTTCTTGCATTTTTTTCCTGCTTGCATCATCCCTAATGACTAAAGTTAATCTTTTACAGGTATAGAGAAAACCCATTGTTGCTTTGATTCCAGGCCCCATTTCATCCTGGAAAGTAGAAAGGGGGAAAAAAAGAAACACAGCACCTGTGGGAATGGCTTGATGCTATTACTTTTGCCATAGAAAGAGCATTATTGTTGACAGTCTCTTTGAACCTAGGTGGCTAAACAACAAAGTAAAAGCCATATGTTGCATCCAAGCATGAGATGGTTAAACCAGAGACGAACTAAACATAAGAAACACGTGTGCGCGCCCTTTTGGAAAGATGTGCGCCTGCACCGCGGGCAAGGCACCCCTCTGCCATGGTGCTCCGGGTGCACCGCACACAGACGCTCACTTCCCCATCACCGCCAACTCCCTCGTCATGGGAAACTACAAAATGCCAGATGCCCGCGCTCTCTGTCGTTATTTGTTTGTTTATGTTTGTTTCCTCCCACTAAAATATAAGACCCATGACAGCAAGGACCTTATGTCTCTTCTTCACTGTTGGACCCCTCCATTGGCTGAATGAAGAAATGCTGCACTATGTGTGAAGGGAGAGAAGGAAGCAGAGATATATGTCCGTGTTCTTAACTTCCAGGCTAACAGGATGAAGAAAACCTCTTAGATTCACAAAAGAATACGTTCATCACGGTATTTTTTAATCTCTAAGAAAAGATCTTCAATTTTTATATACTCTGTTGGACCGCAGGCAATTGATAAATCATAAACAAGAAAATGCCCTGGCTGGCGTAGCTCAGTGGATTGAGCGCGGGCTGTGAATCAAAGCATCGCAGGTTTGATTCCCAGTCAGGGCACATGCCTGGGTTGCAGGCCACGGCCCCCAGCAACCGCACATTGATGTTTCTCTCTTTCTCCCTCCCTTCCCTCTCTAAAAATAAATAAAATCTTAAAAAAATAAACAAGAAAATATAATCATGTCCACTATTAATTTCCTTTTTTTACTTGGTGAGAATACCCCTAGTAACTCTTTACAATGACCTGGTAAGAAATGAGCAGCTCATTTATTTACACCTTAAATTATCGTCAACTATGTACACAGCAGTTAAAGCTCTCAATGTTTGAAGAATATATTCCTAATACAGGAAGCGGGGCACATGTAGTTGGATGCTTGCACAATAGTGTGATGCAGTCAGTCCAGTAAGTTCCAGGAGTGACCTGCCGGGGCAGAAAAGCTTGGGAAGCCCCTCTGTGAAAGCTGAGGGGATGGTGAAAGCAGCTTGGATTTTCAAGTCAAACAGATCAAGTTCAAATCCTGAATCCATACCACTTATGAGCAATGTGATCCAGGGTAAGTTACTGAACCTCTCTAAGTTTCCATTTCGTCTCCTGTAAAATGTGGACAGTAACAGTACTCATCTCATAGGTTATACTAAGCATGCAGTGATGATGCATGTGTAGAAACACAGCAGAGTGTTTAACACAGATGAGACCCTCAACATGCAGTCAACAAATATTCATGGAAGGCTACTAGCAACAACAATAATGAATATTTATTTAGTACTTACTATTTGCCAGAAACTTCTCTAAGTGATTTACAATCATATTATTTCCTCTTTAAACTGTGTGATGTGAGTACTATGCAATAAATGCACAAAGAACTTAAGTATCTTGTCCAAGGTCACACAGGAATTAAATGGCAGGCTCCAAATCTACACCCAAGCTGCTTGATTCTGCCTCCCACACCCTCACCCATTAAGCTGTCCTTTCTCCGTATGTGTTAGGTCCTGGGGCAGGGCGTAGGCGTAAGACTGAGCACAGGAAACACGAGCTTATACTCTAACAAATGAATTAATAAGGTGTCTCTATCATCATCATCGTATCACCATCTTCATCACAATGAAAAAAGTTACGTTCAGACGCTGTCAGTAGAGCAGTGTGGCCAGGCAAGCACTAGTTTACCCAGTGGGAGGTAAGGCTGGCCCTAGACTTCTGGAACAAGAGGAGTGGCCAATAGGAAGTGAAGAATAAGGACTAGGACCATTTCAGAAGTACATCTAAAGCCTTTGTTGATGGGGTAAAATCAATTTAGGATCAACAAGATAAATTTTGAGGTTTAGATAGAAGAAAAAGATCACAAAATGGCACCTTGAAGCCCAGAAGCAGAGTCCCAAAGAGGAGAGTGAGGGCACTGTTACTGTGTGAGGTACGGATCTTCGGCTGAGGTTACGAACGTGGGCCGTAAGTCCCTTGTAAGAGCAGTTAGCGAAGCCAGGGCCCTTTCCCTGGACCGCTGCCTGGGCAGTCCCTGCCCAACAGCCCACGTGCCTCGCCCCCCTGACAGGGAGGGGCACAGACAGCTTCCGCACTTGGCCTATGGCGTCGGGCGGTTTGGAGTGCTAATCCTGACTTTACCCTTTCCCTGCTGTGTGACTTTGCACAAGTAGCCTAATCTGTTTCTCCATCTATAAAATGGAGATAAGAATGCCTAGATCATAGAATCATTTGGAAAATTAAATAATACACATAAAGTGCTTAGCATAGTACCTAGCACATACAAAGTACTAAATAAAATGCTGTATTAGGTGGGGGCTTGGTGTGACCACCACTTAACACAGCCAGAACAGGGAAGGAAGGAGTGCTTCAGGAGTTTATGCCGATAATAATGTACACATTGTATCAGAAAACAAATCTGGCCCAGGTTTCAAAACGCACTGCAGGGCTAAGCGCCCAGAGACAGATCTCTATGGAGAAGCTGCGGTATTAGGAAGGAAAGGGATGAATTATGTGCACTGTGACCTAAGGAGAAATCAGCAGGTCCTTGAGACTGAGACTCGGAGCGGTGAAGAAAAGGAAGGATGAAACTAACTGCTTTCTTTGGAGCCTGCATACTTTAGATAGTAGTGAGGGAACACATGGAAATGCACGTTTCGGTCAGGAAGAAACAGTTTGGCAGCAGGACGGGGACTCGGAGGCGACGGTGGAGCCATCTGTCCAGGGCGAGGTGCCCAGTGCACAAGGAAAGCCCACGACTGGCTCCTGGACGAGAGATGGGACGTATTGATGTGGGAGTCATTCATACACAAGAAATGTAAGTCAGCGGGGTTTGATGTTTCCCTCTCACTGTGTACATGTAACTTTAAATAGCAGAAATACTTCCTTTCTCGAGGGAAATCTTACACGAAACTCTAATATATAAAAAACATAGAGATAAGGCTGTTCTACTTGGAAGGTTTGGAGGAGCTTTTAATAACCTTCCTCAGCAGCTCCTAAGAAAAGTCTGAGAAGTCTTAGAAGCACAGTTTGACACCCACTGGTTACGCTCCAGGAAGAGAATACAACACACACACACACTAGGGCCTAGAGCCACACCGTAGGAAACTCACATTTACGGTATAACATGAAGAAGTAATGAAGGAGACAGAGGGGGGCCCTGGGGGTGGGGCAGCAGGATGGTGTGACACGGAAGCTGGTGGTCAGAGCTCCAAAGACAGAGTGGCCAGTAACGCCAACTACTATGGAGACACTAAGAATACAGGTATTACTGCAGAGAAATCGCTGTTGTACATGCAAATTCAATGTAACTGGTCTTAGTACATATCTTGCTTTGCAATTAATATTGTTTTGAAATTAAAATATATGATGAGAAAGTTTTCAAAAATACCAATCTCCTCTTTTTAACCAAAGCAGTGCTTCTAAAGAGCCAAGTCAGAAATCCTGGGGAAGTATGGTTTGAAAAAGCCCCTCAAGTAACTTTATTACTCTCTTCCCTTTTTGCTTCAGCCTTTTGTATATAGATCAATAGAAAATTTCAAAGGGAGGTCTGAGGCTTAGGAAGTTGGATTGGTAATAGGGTAACCCAAGGAACTCTACCAAATGCCTAAACTGTCTTTAGTAAACTCTCCTTTGCCTAGAGAGTTTTAGTCCCATGTGTTATCTTTTAAAAATCTGTTACAGTTGGCGCTGGCCAGGTAGCTCAGCTGGTTAGCGTGTCATCCCGATACAACAAGGCTGTGGGTTCAATTCCTGGTCAGAACACACAAGAAGCGACCAATGAATGCACAAATAAGTGGGACAACACAGTGACGTTTCTCTCTTTCTCTCTCAGGCATCTCGGCCCTGTGGGAAATCTCTTCCCTGCTCTCACCCAGACCGCTGCCGGCCCTCCCTGTTGCTCTTGCAGCGATGCGCATGGACTCCGCTACCTACTTACCCAATAATATCCTAAGTACTGTGTAATTCATGTCTTATCCGTCAGACTCAAACCCTCCCAGAGACCAGGGACTGCCATGTATTTCTGTGCTTCTGGGGGTGTGATACACAGTAGGTGCTCAGTTTACGTACTGAATGAATGGCCATCCAGGCCAACATAATTCAGCAGGATGCAGCTAAGAGATACACTTCTACACTGTTACAGAGCAGTCAGCATTAAATAAAACATTCTACTAAACATTTCTACTGAAAAGCTTACTTTATTATGTAACGTTCTTACTCATCAATTCCCAATTATTCTGTAAATAACCTATTACTACTTTCTATAATAAAACCTGAATTCAGCAGGCAGCATTCCAGATGTTGAAATACACGGTAATAAAAAAGACTATGCAAATGCCTAGAGACATTCCAGTAAAACCACATTATTTATATTTTATAAACAGCATCTCAAATATTACCTAGAGAATTTATTAATGGATTTCCAAATGGAA